TCGATCAATACCACCTAAAATCGTCGTCATTAGCGGGCGCGACGTCGCACGCGACGCCCACTGGCGCGGCGAATTACGATTCTCTTGCCACATACCAGTATTCAGGGGTAACCTTTCTACCGATTTCTGATCGATCAATATCGCTTGCTTTCAGGGTGGTGAAGGTGCTGCGAGCCTTTCGGTGGCCCAGCAATACGTTGAAGCATTCCAGCAACTTGCAAAGGAGTCCAATACAGTGATATTACCAGCAAATCTAAGCGAGCCAAGTTCGATGGTAGCACAAGCACTCACTTTGTATGAGAGTATAGGGAAGAAACAAACTAAACAAATAAGTGATAAGTAGAGATCTAAATGATTTTACTGTTTACTGGTACTTTTGTTGACGGGGTGGCCCTTACCCGTAAGTGATCTTATGTCGATAGATGGAGAGTTGTATCTTTGTTAACTTGTTATTCCTTTTGTAATGTATATTTTTATGAGCTTCTAGCATGTGTAGGTGGATTTCAGATTTATGGCATAGTTAAGGTGACTTTTGTAAAGTTACAACGGCAATTAAGGCTGAGAATTATTTACACTGCAGAAGTTCAGTATTAAATCCTTATATGAAATGTTCTGATGAAGTCCGGAGATCGTGAAACTACGTGCTCGAATTCGGCATAGTTAATACGATCGTCCCCGTCGAGATCGGCTTCTTCGATGATCTGTAAAGAGCATTCAAAAGCAAAGGATATAACGACAAGTAGGGTAAAGGGCAGTATTCTGCCAATTAGCAAGCGCTTCATGGCACCTTTTTGGGCCAAGGGTGCCGTTATGGTGCCTAACCATGGTGCAAAATGTCGACCAACACGCCCACTGCAACCACCCGCCCACAAATGGCCGCACAGTCACATCGACGCTGGCACTTTTATGGCTTCATTTATGAAGTTCAACTGATATGAAGCGGCTGCCTGCCTTGTTGCATGGCTATAAGGGTACTTGGCACGATGCCAATAGGAAGGGAAGTGCCGAGGTAAGGCGGTGGATCTAGTCTATATTATGGAAGCAAGAAGATGAAACTCACTCTCTCAATGATAAATTCTGACTCTTCGTCCGACAGTTCGTCCCTTGTCAAGCTGCGAACCATTTTACTCAAGTCATCGTGGCCAAGGAAATGCTATTCCGTCATCGAAATCTCAAAAGAAGGCTGAAATATTTAGGTTGTCCGGAAAGTTCTCAGCGTTTTGTGCACCTATTTTTTGTACATTCACTGCTGATTAAAAACTCATTCTGCCTTGCTTCTCAGTAGCACATCCTGTAGAGAATTTCTTGCGCTATCTGATGGTATAATTGCCGTTTCACCATTGCTTGATAAACCCCCTTTTTTCAAGATTTTTTCAAGCATGTGAAAAGAGCACTTCGGACGATTTTTTTCTTCGGCTATAAATTGGGGCAATCCGCAATCGAAACAGCTCAACAAATTAACCAGGTGTGGGGGCCCAATAGTGCTAAAGAAAGCACTGTGCGGCAATGGCTCAACAAATTTCGCTTCTGGAGATTTCAGCCTTGAAGGTGAGCCTCATAGCGGTCGACCTAAAGCAATATCTGACGAGGATTTTAGGGGGATTTTGAAGGTTGACCCATCCCAAACAGTTCGAGAGATAGCAGAAGAGCTAGGCCTTGGCAAATCCACTGTTGCAGCTTTGGTCTGGAACGCATTGGGAAGGTGAAAAAACTCGACAATTGGGTGCCCCACAATCGGAGTGACCGGCAGGAATCGGCACGTCTCGAGGTTCCTTCTTCACTGCTTTTGCGCAAAAGAATTGACCCGTTTTTGAACGGATTTGTCACCTGTGATGAAAAATGGATCATGTATGATAACAGGAGACGTTCCGGACAGTGGTTGGATTTGAAGGAACAGCGAGTAATTTTTCAAAGCCGAACCCTCGCGAAAAAAAAAATTCTGGTCAGGTTTGGTGGTCATCGGCTGTTGTAATCCACTATAACTTTTCATCACCAGGCCAAACCATCACAGCAGAACCCTACTGTGAACAAACCGACCAAATGTACCGAAAATATTGTCAGCTGCAGCCAACACTTATCAAAAGAAAGGGTCCGATTCTTTTGCATGACAACGCCG